GCTCACGGCGGCCGCCAACCTGCTCCTCATCGCGCTCATCTGCACGCAGCCGGCGCTGCGCAACACATCTAACTTCTTCCTGGTGTCGCTCTTCACCTCGGACCTGATGGTGGGGCTGGTGGTGATGCCCCCCGCCATGCTCAACGTGCTGTACGGGCGCTGGGTGCTGGCGCGCGGCCTCTGCCTGCTCTGGGCCGCCTTCGACGTGATGTGCTGCAGCGCGTCCATCCTCAACCTCTGCCTCATCAGCCTGGACCGCTACCTGCTCATCCTGTCGCCGCTGCGCTACAAGCTGCGCATGACGCCCTCGCGCGCCCTGGCGCTCATCCTGGGCGCCTGGAGTCTGGCCGCCCTCGCCTCCTTCCTGCCCTTGCTGCTGGGCTGGCATGAGCTGGGCCACTCTCGGGCGCCCGCCCCGGGCCAGTGCCGCCTGCTGGCCAGCCTGCCCTTCGTCCTCGTGGCGTCCGGCCTCACCTTCTTCTTGCCGTCGGGTGCCATCTGCTTCACCTACTGCAGAATCCTGCTGGCTGCCCGCAAGCAGGCCGTGCAGGTGGCCTCTCTTACCACCGGCACGGCTGGCCAGGCCTTGGAGACTCTGCAGGTAACTGGGGCTCCTGGGGCTCCCGGGGCTCCCGGGGCACCCGGCTTGTGGGAGTCAGGCAGTGAGCAGTCGTGGGCGCCCACCGCTTAGTAAACTCTCGCGGAGGTCCTCTGGGGGTCGTCCTAGCTCCCAGCATTCTGAGTGCCTGACTCAGCGCCTGGCTGTTCACAGGACAGTTCCGCAAGTCAGGAGGTGAACAAGGTGGCGGGGAACATAGGGAGGCCTCCCATCTGCTGCTCCCTGGTCTTCCCCTTCCGGGCGGTGAGACCATCTCAGCGACACACGCAGGAACTTGAGAAGAGGTTCTCTCCCTCGTGCTCCTGCCACGCGACACAGAGGCCTTTTGTTTCTGCCTCCTAAATAGGTGCCATTGCCACAGCCACCTCCCTCATCCGAGCCATAGTCACCTGTCAACTGGGAGCCTTTGGTAGACTTCTGCAGGCTCCTTGGCTTCCGTTCCGGACCACTCCTGTCTACTTTCTGTACAGGAGCCAGATCGTGTTGCTCTCTTGCAACAAACCCCCACTGCTCTCAAAATAAGGAGGAAATCCATCTCCCGTTGTGGCCTGAGGATGCCTCCCTGCCAGCCTCTCCTGCTTACTTCCCTTCCCTCCTCTTACTCAGTACCCTCCTCAGGCTCCTTGAGACAGTTCTAGCAGCCACCAGGATGACCCCTGTGTAGAGGTCTTTGCATTGGCTGAGCCCTCTGACTGGAAGGCTCTCGCCTGACTCCTTGTCAGCCTACCTGAGTGCCGGGCCGGCCCTCACCTGTCTGCTGCTCCGTTGCCCTCCCTCACCCTGTCGTTTTCCCCCACGACCCCAAGTTTCTTGGTCAATTTAGTCACGCTGGCTCCCAGACTTAATATAAGCTTCATGGGGGCTGCATGTGTCCAGGGCCATTTTGAACCCCAGGCACGCAGTAGGTGCTCAGTAATTACTTGGGAACAGGAAAGGTGCTCCTAGCCCAAGGCCCTGCACGGTCTGTAAGTGGAGTGGCCACTCTTGCCATCCAAGCCATACTGTGCTGCAGCCCGGTGGCCCACTTGGAGGAGTGGTCTGGGCTCCGGGTCCCAGGTCACTGAGTGTTCACTGAGTGTTCAGGGGAAGGTTCACTGGAATTACCATGGAGGAGGCTCTTGGAGCATGGAAGGTGTTTTGGGAGTCATGAGGTGTTTGGGGGTTTGGCTGTGGCACTGACAGCTGCACCTGGCCCTCGCCTAGGAGGCTGGGGAGGACGGGGGTCCTGGCTGCAACCCGGATCCATCTCCTTGTTTGTGCTCACAAGAACATTCTTGGGTGCCTGCAGGTGGCTGTGACCTTGATTTGATTTTTCAGGGCAGGATGGCTGCTCTGGGCCATGCATATGTTTTCCTGGGTTCTTTGTTTTATTTATTTTTTGTTGTTTTAAGGCAGGACCTCACTATATAGTCCAGGCTGGCCTTGAACTCGATATGTAGTCCACACCACCCTTGAACTCATGGCGATCCTCCTGCCTCAGCCCCCTGAGTGCTGGGATCACAGGCATGCACCACCATGCCTGTCTTATTTTTTCCTTTTATAGCAATGAAGATTTACTCTATTCTGAATGTTCAGTGAGATATCCCTGCCTCACAAGGCATTCCCAGTTGTAGTTTCTCATGATTTCCTTGATTTTTCCCTAAGCCGACTTCAGAATAAGAGATGACCACACAGGTTTCTCTCCTGTGTGAATTTTCTGATTTAAAAGAGCACTTCGGGGGCCGGGATTTGGCTCAGTGGTTCTGCCACCTGCCTCACAAGCGCAAGGGTCTGAGTTCAATCCCTGGTACAAAAAAAAACGAAAACAAGAAACCAACAACCAAAACCACTTTGTGATGTGAATGAGCTACTGTGGTGCTTGTGTTCTGATGCAAATGAAACAGTTCCACAGAACAGGAGTTTCTGTCTTGTGGAAAGTATAGCTAGGAGTCTTCCTGGGATTTTTCAGAGAGGTTTAAAGACACTTCCAGCTCTGGGATAAAACCCAGGGCCTGGCTTGTGCAAGGTTTTTGGCATCTTTGGGCATTCAGGCCCCTGGGGATAACTTTCTTTCAGTCTCTTCTACTCCCACCCCTACCTCAGGCTGCTTTACTCTTATGTAGTTAGCAAGGTTTTAAGAAATCTTCCCACTGATCTTTTTACTTCTGAGAATTTATTTGGAAAGAAAACCTCGTATCTCTTCCGGAAATGAAAGTTGGCATCCCTTGCCATAGGTAGGCAGTGATCACGAACACAGTTTTGGAGAAATCCCAGCAGCTCTGCCTCCTGCCTCCCCTCCCTTACAGTTCTCCTGTCTTCTGTGTTCTTCCTTCTCCATCCCCACCCTCCCATCAATTACTCCTCTTCTTCCTCTTCCTCCTCACCCTCCTTCATCTGCCCTCCCCCAACTATGCATCATTCTATCTTGGTGATCTTCTTCCTCCCTTC